AACCGCAGGCACTCAAGGAGTCTATAGTAAGTTCACAGGAAAAAGCACACCCTTTCTTCTTCCATCCTCCTTCCAGGTCCTGCCTTAGTGTCCCTCACTGGCAGAATCTAGGAGAAAACTGTCACCAGAGAATTGTGGTTTGCAGAGTTCCAGCTCCAGTGCCACAACGTAGAGCACAGACAGGTGGACTTGGAACTGACACCCCTTTGGCTACTCAGCATCCATGTCCACCCTTCTTTACACTTTAAGTTTTCATACAATGATTCAACAACTCCCAGTTCTATGATGCAACTGTCCTTCATACAAAAGAAAGTATTCTCACACTTCACAAAATCAGAAGATGCAAAATACTAATGGTCATTGTAGCTACATAGGCTATGCTAACTACCCCTTAATTTCAATCTCAGCCCCAGCTGAAATTCTGTTACCAAAAGATTAAACAGTAAAGTTAATCTCAAATAAGAAAAACTTGTAGTGGGTGGGAGAGAGATGGACTGGGAGTTTGGGGTGAATAGATGGAAGCTATCCCAAGTCAAGGCTATGGTTTTCCCAGTGGTCATGTATGGATGTGCGAGTTGGACTATAAAGAAAGCTGAGCACCGAAGAATTGATGCTTTTGAATTGTGGAGATGGAGAAGACTCTTGAAAGTTCCTTGGACTGCAAGGAGATCCAACCAGTCCATCCTAAAGGATGTCAGTCCTGGGTGTTCATTGGAAGGACTGATGCTGAAGCTGAAACTGCAATACTTTGACCACCTCATGTGAAGAGCTGACTCATTGGAAAAGACCCTGATGCTGGGAGGGATTGGGGGCAGGAGGAGAAGGGGGTGACAGAGGATGAGATGGCTGGATGGCATCACCAACTCGATGGACATGAGTTTGAATAAACTCCGGGAGTTGGTCATGGAGAGGAAGGCCTGGCGGGCTGTGATTCATGGGGTCGCAAAGTCAGACACGACTGAGCAACTGAACTGAACTGAATCACATATAGAAAGGATAAGCAACAAGGACCTAATGTATAGCAGAGGGAACTATATTCAATATCCTGGGATAAACTGTAATGGAAAAGAATATTAAAAAGGAGTGTATATATAACTGAGTCACTGCTGTACAGGAGAAATTAATACGACATTGTAAATCACCTGTACTTCAATAAAAAATACATTTAAAAAACATGTAAAAATACTTAGGAAATGGATAAGATAGAATATATGTGTGAATGTATGATTCTTCTATACATAATACATATTGTATATTTATACATACATATGCATATATTTATATGCATATAACATTTATATAATGTATGTGTATATGCATATTATATATACATATACACATATAGTTATCGGGCTTCCCTGGTGGTTCAGGTGGTAAACAATCTGCCTGCAATGTAGATCTGGGTTTGATCCTGGATTGGGAAGATCTCCTGGAAGAGGGCATAGCAACCCACTCCAGTATTCTTGCCTGGAGAATCCCCATGGACAGAGGAGCCTGGTAGGCTGCCTAAGAGTCAGACACGACTGAGCAACTAAGCACGTGTCGCTATAGATACATATACACATAACAAGAAAGAAAAGATTCATAGCTGCTAGAGGCACAATTTATGGAACTGGTCACAAGGTCATATTTGATATTTTAAACTTCCATTATTATATTCGTTGTTTTGCTACATAACAAACTTGCAAATTTACTTGCTTACAACAGCAAACATACACCTCACATAGTTTCCATGGGTCAAGAATTCATGAGTGACTTAACTGAGTGGTCCTGCCTCGCATGAAATCAGCCAGGATGTTAGCTGAGGGCTTCTCTGATGGCTCAGTGTTGAAGGATCTGCCTGCCAGTAAGGGGGACCCGGGTTCAGTCGCTGAGCTGGGAAGACCCCACATGCCGTGACGCAACTGAGCCCATGTCCGCCACACCACTGGGCCTGCGTGCTCCAGCGCCCGGCTCAGGAACGAGAAGCCACTGCCAGGAGCCCGCGTGCAACGGGGAAAACCCAGTGCAGCCAAAATAAATGTTTAAAAAAAGAAGCCCCCAAATGAGCCAGTGGCAGTCTCATCTTCCAAATTAATGGAATTATTGTTGTTCCCTTGGTAGAAGCATTTCTCCTTTGGGAACTAGACCCCCCCTTCCCCCCCAACACCAACCCAGCAAAGCTCAAAGTTGTGAGGGCAAGTAAAAATTCTGAGTGGGTTATACAACATAATAGTAAGAGGAATTACTCCGACTTCCATCCTTTAATTTCTGGACCCATGTATTCTAGGTATGGAAGTGACACACCATGTACTGACCTCTGGTTCAAATCTTATACTGTGTCTTGTAAGATATTCTTCTAAGAGAATATCCATCCTTTCAAGGTGTTGTCTCCAAAATAGCATTACTTACATAACGACATATTAGAGCAAGACCGTTTAATACCACAAATTCCTTGATCAGAAGCAGTGTTGGCAGAGTACCACGTTGGCAAAGAAGGCATTTTGTTAAGCGATACTGACATAAGCATAATGGGAAAGAAAAGAAGACTCATATACAGAATAGGCTCTATTCCATTAAGGATAAATTTCTATTCTGTCCATGATGGAAAGAATCCAATGTAATCAACCTGCCACCAGGTAGCTGTGACTGGTTCCTTTTAGAAATGGCTGTAGTGCTTTGAAAATATAGGGAATACAGAATCCGAAGTCTAGCAAACTTCAGAGAATGCAAAAGCATGTGGATTTTATCCCCAACAACACGAGCTGCTATCCTTTAAAGAGCTTCTTAACATTTTCTTTTCCAAACCACAAAATGGATTATATGTGTGTACTCCTATGACCCACCACTTCTTTCTCTAATTTGTACAGAGAAATAAAGCAAGTAGCACTAGCAATTTTCAAGTGGTGGCAATGGGTAATATTCATTGAAGAGCTAGTACAAAGATATGAGATCCTTTTGTTACATTTAGAGTAAATTTAGCCAAGAAAAAATACGTATGACTAATCAAAGTTTTAAGATATTAAATGTTTTATAATCCATTGCACTTTTTTTATTTTAAAAATTACTATTTTATAAAAATGACTTGACTTTCCCAGCTCACCAGTTCTATTAATAGGCAATAATATAGCACTGAATAAATATAAACCTTGTTAAAAAGAAAAATACCTAAAATTTATGCACTTGAGAGTGTTGAAACGAGTATCATCAGTGTACATTTCACTTGCTTTATCACTCTGCCTACATTTAGTAATCTCAACTCTTGTCATTACTGACAAATGTTTTCTCCTCATAAAACCATAGAACTATATTCACTTTTTTCTACTTTCACGTTTCTTTTTAAAAAATGTTCCTACCTAAACAATTTAAAACAGAATCATGACATGACAACAGCAAACACTTACCTGGCTTGAGAGGTAAGACAGCCTATGTGGCGCTCCTGGTGTAAACCTAAAATTCCACTTCCCATCAAAAAAGCATCTCTGAGTTCAACTGAGACTATTTCTATAGGAATAAATTTGAATTGTCTCATATTTTTAAAAAGTCATTTATTTTAGCTATAAGTAAGAACTATTCATGAAGTATTTCATACATGATCATGATATTATAAGGATATAGATTAAGAACCACTATTTGAAGGTATTGCAGACTCTCAAAGTCAGGAACTACTGATCAATCTAAGAACTTTATACTTCAATCTTACAGTATAAAAACATTTTAATTTTGGCCTGATTGATGATTGAAACAATTTGGGAGGGGCCTAAAAAAGAAAAGTTAGATTATTCAACTCCTAATTGAACTATTTGGACATTTTAAAACAATATTTAAAGCCAATCTGAGAGAATATAATTCCAAAAATGGAAGAGAATTCTTGCCATTGAAGTTAACATGTATACCCGAAAGAAAATCACCCTCTCCACTGGACAAACGGAACTCAAAATGAGTAAAGGGATTTTTCCCCCCCTAGGGTCTTATAAACAATTAACAGAGCATTCTTTATCTTGCTAGATTATTGGTACAATAAATATAAGTTTAGACACACTGGTTGAGCCTCAAAAAATGTACCTCCTACACACTCTATGTGCTACCACAGAAGAGGAAACCAAGTAAGAGTAGAAGGAAGAATCTAGGCTACAGAATAGATTCTCTGGATAAGGACAGGAAATGCCTAGGTGACAGCTGAGCAATATACCTGGCAGAAAACATTTCCACATTGGAAGTCAGAGAGCTGGCTCCAGAAGTATCACTAGGAGAAAGAAATTACTTGATATTATGGTTTTTCCAGTATGGTATATACACATGAGAGTTGGACCATAAAGAAGGCTGAGCACCAAAGAACTGATACTTTCTAATCATGGTGCTGGAAAAGACTCTTCAGAGTCCCTTGGACTGCAAGGAGATCAAACCAGTCAATCCTAAAGGAAATCAACTCTGAATATTCATTGGAAGGACTGATGCTGAAGTTGAAGCTCCAATATTATGGCCACCTGATGAGAAGAGCCAATTCACTGGAAAAGATCCTGATGCTGGGAAAGATCGAAGGCAAAATAAGGGGGAGGCAGAGGGTGAGATGATCAGATAGCATCATGGACTCAATGGACACCAAGTTGAGCAAATTCCAGGAGATAGTGAAGGGCAGAAGAGCCTGGTGTACTGCAGTCATGGGGTTGCAAAGAGTCGGATGTGACCTAGCAACTGAACAATAACAATCATATAGAAAATTATGAGATCCTTTTTAGAATTATTGAACATGGCAAGATCAAGTCAGATGCTAGAAGAAAGTGAGCCCATTATTAACTTCTGAAATAACAAAAAAAGCAATGTAAGAAATAAAGTCAACCACAGCATGCTACTTGGTTCAGTAGTAAATAAAGTTGATAGCCTTCATAATGAAAATACTGAATTTGAGATGTAAAAATACTGAAATATTAGTATACTAGAAAAATGGTGAAATAAATTAAGTAAGCAAAATTTTCATTCTTTCCAGTAGAAAGTTAATAAATAATCAGCAGCTCAAAAGGTAGCAACATATTCATGTTATTTGGAAACATAAAGGTAAATTCTACAACCACTGTATAAGTTGCAAGAGTACGGTTCCTCTGTGAACATGAAAGAAGGATGAGAAGGATTATCTCTTTTTAAGTCACAAGCATTTTGGTACTAGAAGATATTTTTAAACCATCTCCACATAATGTTGGAGGGTGGGGGACAGCACTAAGACAGAAAGAGATTAACCGTTTTACATTAAAAAAAAAAAAAACCCTCTAAGTTCTGTAAGAAAAGTGAACATGATTACACCTAAACACATCCACTGGTTTTTAAAAAATAATTTTATAAAGGCTGTGGGTCAAAATTCATTTACCAAAATAAGTACTTTCACAGTTTCTAAAAGAAATTTATTTTCATATTTGAAAGTCTTTAGACTTATTACCCTTCTGCATTCTGCTTTTCAGAAAGTACTTTTGAGGTAGATCTGTTTCGGATTCTTTTTCTTTTCCTTTTCTTTTCCGAGGCAGATGAGTTCGTATCCTGTGTTTTTTTCTTTTTCTTCAAACAGCTAAGAGGATTGGGGCCACTTACTTTCCTGCGCTTTCTTCTTCTCTGTTCCACGTCTCTGACTAAACCCTGCTCCTCTTTGAGCTGCTTGATACTCTGTTTCTCATGCACTGAGACGAGCTGACCGGACTCCACGGCCTTAACAAACGCAATCGCTTTGGGAGAAGGTTTGTCCAAGACAATAGTGTTCTGAATGATAAACATGAGGGGAATTCCAGGCTTCTTCTTTACTTTCATAGACAAATTCTGATCCTATTAAAGAGAAACACAGAATTATTTAGTTCAAATAGAATAATTAGATACCTTAAATAGATTTCTAAGAACATAAAGAGAACTATACTAAAAATAAAAGATTCCGGTTTTACTTCTCAAATCAGTATGTCTCACTAACAGTAGTATATTTTATGACAAAGGAAGAAAAACATAAAAACTGAGCACAGATAAGCGTCAACAATATGAACTCGAATTATCAATATTCTATACTGATCAATATTCTAAGACCACTAATTTTCTAGGACCTCAAAATATAAACAAATGCAAAGGTAAACATGTTAGGTGATATCCATCATTCCTACTCTGATACATGTTTCAGAAAGGGTCAAGAATGCTCACAGAGATCGAAAGAATAGAAATAAAGTAGGAACTAGCTGGCTCAGATTCTACACTCAGCTCTGCTTCTAACTGTGTAATTTTATAATTCCACAAGCATATGTAAGAAAATCTGTACGGACGTGAACTTACTAATACTCACCCAGAGAGCCTCTCCTCCCCTGCATCCCAGTCATGAAAGCCTGAGAGAGTTCCATACTGGTGGTATGGTCTCAAATAACAGGAAATACAACTCTCCGAATATATGCATTCATATGTAAATATGAATACACATGAATATATGAATACATGTATACACATAAATAGTATGAAATATAGAAACATGAAAAACATGTATAAACATAAAATGTAAAATCTTTGCTCTACTTACTTTCCTTTTAAGAGCCCTAAAACATATCATCACACCTCTATGTCAATAATTTTTTATTTAAAAAAAGGAAATTTCAGTAATGAAGAAGTAAACCATTATGCCTAACCATCTGATTTCTTCTAATGACAAATAGCTCCACATAATGTATAAACAGAGATGACTAAAATTGACTCTGGTTTTAAAACTGGTGTCACCTGTGTTGCCAGGAAATAATGGTGAGGATTTCCATCTTCCACCATGGAAAGCAGACATTCTGATCCACTCACTGCATTCTTGAAATGGGGACAATTTCGAACCTGGCATTTTTGGGCAATCAGCTTTGCCCCATATAAGTCCTTTCCCAATGTTTCCAACTCTTTTAATACACATCTGGAAAATAAAATGTTATTAGCAGCTTACGTTATAACAGATGCATATCAGTTATTCACATAAAGTATTAAAAAACAATCTCAGGTCTTTTTCAAAAACTACAAGCCATACAGTAAATATTTCACTCTCAAAAGACCTGGAAAAATGCATACACCAATTAGAAGGAACTTAATGAAGAGCTGAAATGTACTGAGCATTTATCATGAGCAGGCAGCATGCTAACTGCTCTTGACATAAATTCTCCCTTATCTCAAAACAGCCCTACAAAGTTGGGCAGCTTACTTTAAAATTATCCTTATTTTAGAACAGCTTATTCTGGGAGATTTCAAGTAACATGCCCAAAGTCAAACAACTAAAAGTGGTAGAGTGAAATGTGAATCTAAGTAGTTTGACAATAGATGCCCCAACCGGAGTGCTATAGACTTCTGTTTCAAGTACAAATCGATACACCTTTAAAGTATTTTCAGCTCAGAAAAGTAAAGATTCTCAACTCACCAGCTTGTTTAAAAGCAATCACAACTTTCCTCACTTTGCATTTTCATATTAAGCTACTGTTTTTCAAAGTGTCACCAATGTGTGTGTGCTCAGTTGCTCAGTCGTGTCCAACTCTTTGAAACCCCATGGACTATAGCTCACCAGGCTCCTGTGTCCATGGAATTTTCCAGGCAAAAATAATGGAGTGGGTTGCCATTTCCTACTTCAGAGGATCTTCCTGACCCAGGGATTGAACCTGCGTCTCCTGCATTGGCAGACAGATTCTTAACAACTTTACCACCTGGGAAGCCTAATTTCTCATCCACAAATCTGAACCTCTTATGGACGAGTCAAATATTAGTATTTTAATAAGATCCCCAGGTACTTCCTCTATCCCACTTAAAAATTATGAGAAATAGTGAATCAAAAGGTTCTTCAACCTGAGCCAACCCTTGCCTGTCTCTACCTTGCCTCATCCCCTTTATCCCATTAGTTTATTTGTTTGAAGAGATTTTGCTTTCTACAGTTACCCATTTTGAATGTTATTTTGAATTTCAGGACTAAATTGCCAAACATTTACTGAATATTTCCCATGGATGGTCTGCCGTCAGCTCTTCACCAAATTCACTATGTCTGAAATCAAACTACTTTCCTGTCTCCAAACTTCTCCAGGGCTTGCTTATGCTTTGAATTTATTATCTTCTCAGATACCTTGTATAGAAATCCGAAATCCTATCTGATCTTTGCTTTCTCTCTCCCACCTCAACCCTGCCCCAAAGGTGGGTAGTTCTATCTCAGCTTGGTATTTACTTCTGTGACATCTCCTTGTAAAACCCTGGGGTTCCTGCCTTCCCCCTCTCCCATTATTTCTTGACTAGAATTAACCCCAAAATGGGTTTACCTGTCTTCATTCTCTTGCTTCTCCAACTCACCCCTTACATAGCTGCAGTTATCTTTTCTAGAAGATACTTATCATGTCTGATAGCATTTACCTCCTAACACACACCGAGAATTAACAGAACAATATGTTTTAAAATAACCTATCAATAAGATTAAGGGGGGTGGGGGGGAAATAAATGAGTAAGAATAGTCATGTAAATAACTGCAAAAGCTGGGTGATAGAGATTTTGTGATGCTATTCTATTTTTGTGCATGAAATATTCCAGAAGTTCAGAAGCTAAATTCTTTAGGGGGGGAAAATGCAGCAAAATATAATTTCATCCACTACTTCTCAAATATATGTATATTACAGACTGTATTAAAAATGTTAATATTTATGACAGACAGTGCTATTTGGACAAGGCTTGTAAACAGAAGAAATCAACTCTGGAGCACAGGTCATCAGGATCTGGCAGTCCTGAAGGCAAAGGGGATCAAAAATTAAGGGTATCTATGTCTCCTCTGAAGCTCTGCCTGGATGAAATCCGTATGAAGTTCTGAATACAGAAAGCTGTTTATGGAGTACTATTAGGTGAGAAAGACAAGCCATTAATATCATATGCAGAGTAAGAGCCCATTCTTATGTGTGTGTGTGCAAAGAATTGGATGAATGACAGTAGCAAGTCACTGGTGTGGTCTTATGGTCATTTAAATTTTTTTTTCAATTTTTAAAGGAAATGTTCTACAAAGAAAAAAAAACTACTAAGTTTATGAATAGTGGTTCTTTGTTATGCAGCCTCTGTTTATCTTCTTCCCAGCTCCTTTCCCTAGTGTACACTGTGCTCTCACCTCTTTCCCTTGCACTTCACAACTCCACTCCTTCGTTCAAGAGTTCTACAAGGGATCTTTCACTCAGAAAATGTCCTTCCCTTTAGAACTGAACTGTGACTGAGCTCAAGTCACTTCCTCTATGAAACCTTCCTTGATTTCATCCTTCCTCCAAACAACCCCACATGGTTTCATCTTACATGTTCCCACACTTTGAGGAAATGGGGACACTACACTTGGAGTCAAACATAACAAATACCGGCTGATTTATGCAACTCACTCTAGTATTCTTGCCTGAAGAATTTCACGGACAGAGGAGCCTGGGAGGATACAGCCCATAGTGTTGCACAGAGTCGGACACGACTGAACGACTAACACTTTATGCACTTTGCTGGCCATTCGGTTTGGGAGATCAATCCTGTTCACCCAGTTATCCTCTGGCTAGAGCAGTGCCTGGCATATGGCTGGTGCTCAAAAAAGGCAGCTGAATAAACAGAGGACCTTGCACAAAGTTCTTAACATCGAGTCTGGCCTTATCTTTCTGGGAATAGAAGGTTACACCATGAGGCAGTTGTGAAGCTTGAAAAATTCTTAAACTGGGAAAAGCTTTGCAAACAACCAGCAACCACTTCGAGGAGACAGGTTTTGAGATACCAATAAACGATCCTCATATACTATACCTCGTTAGACTTTTATAGCAAATTTATAAGTAGTTACGATCTTTTTTTTTTTAATCAGATGAGTAATTCTAGGCTCAGAGATTAAATAACTTGTCGGAAATCACAAAACTGGTAGCACTGGGATCGGAAGCCACGTTGGACTGCAAAGGACATGTGCTTGTCCTCCAGACTAATGACAAGCAAATATCCCACGATACTACTGTCTGTCTACACGGTAGATACTCGCCCACTCTCCTCCGCGGCGCCGCCGAACTGTCAACTCCTACTGGGCGGGGCGCTTTGCCCCTCCAGGGATCGCAATGGATGCCTGCGAGCAGCGGCCCGGCTGCTGCCGCACTCGCGAGTTTCCCGCGCCTCCATCCGGACCGGCCAGGCCCACCTGGTGGTGCACAGCTGAGTCTCCGCCATGAGGTAGCGGGGCAACTGCTCTCGCAGCTGGATGCGGCCCCGTAGCGCCGCCTGACAGAAAGTGCCGTCCAGCAGTATCTGGTATGGCTCGCGGACTCCAAAATTATTGCGGAAGAAGCCAAGATGCTTCTTGGCGTGTTTCTGCCTGGTGATCTTCATGCCTGGCTTCCCCGGCCCAGGCCACCCGACCAGAAGGCAACTTCGAACCAATAAAGTATCCCACGACCGGCAATGTCTGCTTACCCGGAAACAAACACCCTTGGCCCCGGAAGCAAACGCCCCCATCTGTCGCCCCAATTTACGTCACACCCAGACAAGGGCGCGCTTCACGGCGATGCCGGCGCTCTAAGGGGCACGCCCTCGGAGGTGGAGCTTGCGCTTAAGCGGGAAAACAACTAGATGTGTGGTTAGGTGCGTGCATGCGCAGTCAGGTGTCAGACTGAAAATATACGCTGGTGGCGCTAGTGGTAAAGAACCCTTCTGCCAATGTAGGTGGATGTTAAGGGACGTGGGTTCAATCCCTGTGTCGGGAAGCTCCCCTGGAGGAGGGCATGGCAACCGACTGCAGGTTCTCAAGAATTTGCCTTGAGAATCCCATGGACAGAGGAGCCTGGTGGTGGGTTACAGTCCATAGGGTCACAAAGAGTCGATCACGACTGAAGCGATTTAGCGCGCGTGCGCGCGCACACACACACACACACACACACACACACACACTCTGCCTCTTGCGTCACACACACACACACACACACACACACACACACACACACACACAGCCTCTTAAGTGTTGCCTGGCACAACAGCTGAAAAATTGGCGTTATAATAATCAGTGAAAATATTGAGCCTTAATATGTCCTGGGCACTATGTTCTAGATAAGTTACCTTATATTTCCTCCTTTAATGTTAATAATTCTAAAATGAGGGAAGAAAGGGACCAAAGTATATTGGATGACTGCGATTGGGCCGGTTTGTGACGACTGCCTTCCTATAAAGGAGTTGAGCCTGAGAACTAAGGGCACGTGGTTCTTTAGTGTCAGAACTACCAGTGGAACCCAAGTCTCCTGCCTGAAGTTCAAGTGTTCTGGCACCCCACCACATCTCCCCCGTAGGACCACTGTCTATGAGTGGTCCTATGAGCCAAATGTCAGGGCAAAAAGTACTACCATTTTGCATTTCTTCTGGAGACTGTCCTAAATGACGCACAAGGAGCGTTTCAGGAGGACTTCTCAAGACCTTCCTTTTCCAAAAGTCAGTGTCCCTAAACTAGAGTTCTCATTCTGTCCCTAACCCGAGTCATTTGACCTTGAGCAACTCCCCAAAAAAGCTGGTTAAACTTCCTCACTGTCAAATAGGTCGGCAGGACTAGATGACTTTTAAGAACCTCTTTTATGTCTGTAGTCTCTAGGGTAGGAAGATTACCTACTGGGCTACTTACTAACAGGGAGATACAAAGCAGACCAAAAGTTTAGAAATGCTTGGTCAACTTGATTAATGAAGAGGGTGAATCTGAAAATTTTGAGTTCCCCAATGACTAATTGCTACATATCTACTTCAATTCTAGGCAAAATAATTAGAGAGTGGGAGTATGGGATTTTGCTTTTTTTCTTTTGACCTGGATCTGTCCCAGATCTAGTTCTGGCTGAAGACTGAAAGAACCAATGCAGAAAAATAACTTACAAGATGATAGAGATGTATTATTTGCATTTGGGGTTTTATTTGAAGACACAGGTTTATGAAACTGGAATTGAAATCTTCTATAATGTAAACCCTGTCTTGATTCCCAGTACAACATCACTTAAATGGCTGCATCTTTTAACTGAAAATAAATCTAGGAGTTGGAAGCCATGAAGAGTTACTGTAGGACTGGAATCATGGTTCTTGAGTATAATTCCTCATGACCTTCCAATCTGAATACTCTCTTTATCTCTGTGTGCCAACATCCCACTCTGACTATAATCCCACCACAGACAGTGAAAATATACTATCCCAGTCCTGCAAAACAGTTAAAACAGTTTTAAAAACAGACTCACAGATTTATCTACCAGCTCCATCCTGTTGGCCATATTTCACTAGTAAGAAATATGTGGTTCGGGCCTAGGGTTGGGTCATTTTTTTTTTTCCAATTTACTAAACTGTAGCAATTTTTTTCAAGGTCTATGTATGTGACAGTGCTATTTGCACAACGATCCCTTATTTCACAAGCAAGAAGACAGTAGATACCTGTGATTATCAAGTTTAAAACAGAATTTTCTGTTACATCAGTGTTTCTCAAAACGTGATCCTGGGACATGCAGAAAGGCTGTAAGTATGCTGGTTTAATATGCCCATTTGATTGAGAACAAGTATTGAGGGAGAAGGATACTATTCAGAGAGGAGGTAACATTTATTACAATCTCCTGCAAGTCATTTATTATGCATATTAGTGTTCCAGAAGGACTGTCTTCAGTAAAGCGTCACTGTTTACCCAATGGGATGTTTTCATTAAGTGGTCTACTGAGTATATCTTTGCTGATGCCAAATGACCTAGTATTGAAAAATCAACATTTGGCCACAACAAAGGCAGGAACCAAATATTGCTGTTATTGGACGAACTATTTGGATATAAGTTTGAACCTGAAATTTTACTTTGCAAATTATTATAATATTATTAACTTTTAAAAATAATCATTGAAAATTCTCTTGACCTTAGAGTGCAGGAACAGTAATGTCTCAGCATTGCTAGCTGCTGGTTTTTTCCCCCCTCAGGTCAATCACTACAGTGGATATTTTCCAGGCCAAATAGACATTCAGTTGCAGTAGGGGATTAATTTATTTTTCTTTATTTTTTCATAGTCTTCATATTCTTTATTACACCTGGATCAAATATAATTTATATGTTGTTGTACACAATTTTGAAGCTCTTTCTTCATGAAATTTTGATGCAGCCAAGTTGACATGAATATGATTTATTCTTGCAAGGTATGACTAATTCCCAAACAAGACTTTTCATGAAAGATTCATGTCCTAAATGGAATTAAATAGGTAAATATTAAATGCAATTCATAAAGCTTATTTGTTTAATTTCATAAATGCTCAAATTCCAATAATTCAGCAAAGCTATCTGTCATGATATTATTCTTCCTTTTATTCATATTTAAATATTTATAAACATTTGTTAACATCCATTAGCTCCAAAGGAATGCAATGTTCCCCTACTGTTACCCAGCTAACATATTCCTTAAATAAGTAATTTCCTAAAATAAATAATTTAAAACAACTTAGGTAAACTGGTTTGCATTGAGAGCCTATTAGTACTTCACTAAGATCCCCTAAACTCCATCTGGGACTTGTTTATTGTGAATTTTTATATATAAGGGAAGGTGTTACAAAGGTTGGTTCTGCTGCCATATTTTTAAAAAACATTTTATGGTTTTCAAATTATAAAACTAACACAGGCCTACTATAACAAGAGGAACAATAGAACAACACAAGACAGGCATCTCCTCTTCTTTGCCAAAATAATACATAATAATCTACTGGGTACCCTTCTATGATTTTTTTCATATTCACATACTCATTTGCATGTACATCTGCATACATATTTAGAGATTTTTGTCACTTTGTTATTCAAAAATGAAATCATATTTTATCACTTCTGTCCATTTTAGTTTTCTCACCCAATGATCTTTGTGAAAATCCCGACGCATATTCCAAGTTAATTGGCATAGTACTTTTTCATTGTTTTTAATGACTGCATGAAATTTCCCACAAAATCCCACATGTAACATAATGGATGTGACACAAACTGTGAATTGACACTCAATATCTCTTCTCTTCTCTTTAGTAGGTAGGATCCTGATTTCATTCTCGACAGTAGTGTGCCCAGAAAAGAGAATCCATGGCCCAGACTCTGTGCAGTGAAGTATAGTCATAGGATTAAGTTTTAGCCAAAGATAGGTTAAGTGTAAGTGTTACAAGGGACTTTGGGAAAGCTGCTAAAAGGAAATTGGTTTCATTTGGTGGTGGGCACTTCTGTTTTTTTCCCATCATCTTTCTAACCACTCCTAGGATTTGGATGTGATAAAGAGGAACCTAGTAGCCTATTTCAGAGCAAGAGGTAAATGTGAGGATGGAGGCCATGTGCTAAGCTAGCAAAGTAGAAAAGAGAAAGAGCCTGGGCCATCGGTGACTATGAAACTACCTTTCCAAATCTAGCCTTTTAACCTCTGAGCTTGTTTTACATGAGAAGAAAAATAAACTTCTATTGTAGTTTAAAAATATTATTTTTGATTTCGTTTCATTTTTGAAACTGTATTTTTTTTTTAGAGCAGTATAGGTTTATAGCAAAATTTAAAGGAAGATGCAGAGATTCCCCATGTAGCCCTTGCCTCCACACATGCAGAGCCTCCCCCAGTATCAATACCACTCACCAGAATGGTACATTTTTTTCACCCAAGAAGGACCCTACATCAATACATTGTTTCTTTTATATACAGCTGTACCCAAACATAATTGATAGACTAAGTTAAAACTGTGCCTGTATGTACCCACTCCCTCAGTCCTAACAGACTCTTTGCCACGCCATAGACTGTAGCCCACCAGGCTCCTCTGTCCATGGGATCCTCCAGGAAAGAATACTGTAGTGTATTGCAATTTCCTTCTCCAGAGGATCTTGCCAAACCCAGGAAATGAACCAGCATCTCCTATTTGGCAGGCAGATTCTTTACCATTAAGTCACCTGGGCAGCCCCACATAGTACCTTAACTTTACCTAGAATTCACTTAAAACTTTTATCCCATACGCCAGTGGGAAATAAAATACTGTAACCCTGAGTTCCTGTTTCCTTTACCTGTTGAACTCTCTAGCTCAGGCTTATCTCAACTCTGCTAGTAAACGTCAATCAGCTAGGCATTAGCACAGGGGATTGTCGTCAGGGCATGCAAGTATGCTGTTGTTTGTTGTAGTTGTTTACTCACTAAGTTGTGTTCAACTCTTGCGATTCCGTGGACTGTAGCCTGCCAGGCTCCTCTGTTCATGAGATATCCTAGGCAAGAATACTGGAGTGGGTTGCCATTTCCTTTTTCTGGGGATCTTCCTGACTCAGGGATTGAACTCCTGTCTCCTGCATCACAGGCTGGTTCTTTTACTGCTGAGCCATCACGGAAACCCAAATTAAAACTACTTGCCAGAATTAGAGAATTTTATCTTGGCAGATGTCTTTGATAAAACTTTGATGTTGGTTAGTTTTTGCCAATATAATTACCCTTTC